CAGATGGTCATTGGCAAACTTCAGACAGGCCTGGACATGCGCTGGCTTGAGCAGGGGGACCTTGCGTGCGCTGCAGGATTTTAATCCATGACGGCGTAGTGTGTTACTAATGGTTTTCTTTGAGACTGTGGTCCCAGCTCTCTTCAGGTCATTGACCAGGTCCTGCCGTGTAGTTCTGGGCTGATCCCTCACCTTCCTCATGATCATTGATGCCCCACGAGGTGAGATCTTGCGTGGAGCCCCAGACCGAGGGTGATTGACCGTCATCTTGAACTTCTTCCATTTTCTAATAATTGCGCCAACAGTTGTTGCCTTCTCACCAAGCTGCTTGCATATTGTCCTGTAGCCCATCCCAGCCTTGTGCAGGTCTACAATTTTATCCCTGATGTCATTACACAGCTCTCTGGTCTTGGCCATTGTGGAGAGGTTGGAGTCTGTTTGATTGAGTGTGTGGACAGGTGTCTTTTATACAGGTAACGAGTTCAAACAGGTGCAGTTAATACAGGTAATGAGTGGAGAACAGGAGGGCTTCTTAAAGAAAAATTAACAGGTCTGTGAGAGCCGGAATTCTTACTGGTTGGTAGGTGATCAAATACTTATGTCATGCAATAAATTCAAATTAATTACTTAAAAATCATACAATGTGATTTTCTGGATTTTTGTTTTAGATTCAGTCTCTCACAGTTGAAGTGTACCTTTGATAAAAATTACAGACCTCTACATGCTTTGTAAGTAGGAAAACCTGCAAAATCGGCAGTGTATCAAATACTTGTTCTCCCCACTGTATATATATATACATATAACTATATGCGAGAGAAAAAAAACATATGGGGGATTGGAAGTGATGCAGACAATTACATTGATGGAAGTTACAATCTATCTGCAATATTAAAGCTGATCTACCCCCTAAAAAAATATATATATATACTACTGTTGGCCTGTAGGGGGCAGTGAGACGTGTTCGCTTCACACTGGGACAAATATGTATATGTATATACATATTTACATACATATACATATTTGTCCCAGTGCGAAGCGAACACGTCTCACTGCCCCCTACAGGCCAACAGTAGTATAAGCGCAACGCAATAGTGAAACCTGGAGGACTGACATTTCAGTAAATGCATTCTATCCCAATACAAAGAAACAATACATAAACACAAATGTGACCATACATTTTGTGTGCGTCACATGTGCAGTATGAGAGATGTACAGATGTCCTATCTTAATTTTACGCTGCTCCTCAGAGCAGGAAAATAATACTGCAGCAAAAGGAAATATTAATTATTGTGTGGATTATAATTAATGGACATTTTGTACGGGTGGATACATTTTTCATTATGGCAAATCAAGTCATATTTAAAAATGGAAATTACAAACTTTAGAAGCCTTTTTAAACCTTGAATACACTACAATTTGCATTTCCTGCTGCATTTTCTGTGACAACAGAGTGATCCAATTAAGATAGCAGATCTGTAACTAGTTGTTAGAATTGACAACGTCCCATTGCTGTGACGACAGCCTATCCCTGCGCTCCAATCTGAGCTAGACATTTCCTATTGATCCCTGGCAGGACTTCATTGGCAGCTCTAACTTATTTACGAACCTGTCGCTCCCCGCCATCGATCAACATGTCCTTCATCTGAGACTTAATTATATGCAAAGACAAAATATTTTCTCATTATTGTGTTTAATCTAATGAAAGCAGCCTGCTACGGCAGGGGCCAGTTCAGAGGTCCTGGGACTATTGGCCCCGGAGGGCAGCGCTACGAGGTGAAGTTTTTAATTAGACAGAGTAATGGGATTCAGACAGAGAGACTCAGATGTCTTTAGAGCGGGAGGTTGGACAGGTTGGCATGGAAGGCTGTTTAATAGAAACACACGGCCACAGCCTCTAACCTTTATTGACCACCTCTCAAAGCTTATCACGGTTTAGCATCAGACTCAAGCATCAATAACCCAAATCTATGCAGGGACCAGAGAGATGAGCAGCTCAGAGAGATGAACACCAAACCATAAGTGATATAGATATTCATGCCATGAAGGCTCTGGAGCCAGTGTCTGCTGCTAGCCAATCATATTTCACCACTAGGGGGTTCAATTATTTAATGCACCACTATTAACGAGCTGCCACTTGGGGGCCATTTTGAGTCGTTTAATCTAAATCTCTCTCTATCTTTCTCTTTTTACATATCTGTCTTTCTCACTATATAGAGTATCTCTCCCTCCCTCTTTTTCCCACTTTTCTTTAGTGCTCTCCAGAGTGATGCTCAGTGCTTGACTTGGAATGAAATAAGTGCCGGTACTCATTTTGGGTGCCGGTACTGTTTATATATAGGTGCAGGAGCTCCACAATACTTTTGAGCTAATATTTTACAAGAGGAACAGGAGCTCAAGCAGTAAAAAATGTGAGGTGCCGGTACTCAGCTCCAGTGAGCTCCTACCCAAGTCAAGCACGGGTGATGCTGACACCTTTATCCAATAACTATAAATTGATAACCATGCAAGGAAAATAAGCCATAAAATCACTCAAAAGTGAGTGGCTGGGGTGAACATTTCCAAATGCCATAACTGTGTTTTGACCATACCCAATAAACTGAATGCCGATACATTTATTTGATTATATTTAACCTGCTGATCCTTAATTTTCCAAAAAGGACTTGTTTCAGTTTTTCATTAATCATCCCAAATCCCACATAAAAATATAGAGCATTAAAGTGAGTTTGATAGAGAGATGACAGTAAACAGGTTTGTTATGGTCTCAATCAGGCCTGGGCATTATTATGTAGGCCTACATGTGGATGCCAAATGTTTCACTAATGCCAGAGCCACTGTTAGATGAGAGTTTACTTTTATGTGTTCTGCACGTTGAAGGCGCAGGCACATTTTCAGTCAATATGAGATGTTAAAACTAACACACCCTGCAAGCTGTTTCTCTTGAGAACATTGTCATTGATGAATATTGATGCGAAACCAAAATACAACATAAACATTGAGTAGGGTGTCCACCTACTCTGCCCAGAGTGGGTGAAAACGCACTTTGGTGATGAAATTTCACTTCATTATGTTATAAAATACAGTTTACCAAGATAAATATGATTACTCATGTTCTGTATCTTTCAGTGGGGGTTTTCTCTAACATATCATTAACATTGTATCCAAAAAGTCGGATTTCGTAAGTGACCTAATGAATCCGATAATAGCCTAAACACCGAGCTCTGTTGACATTGCGGTGCAGGTTTCTCACAACAACCTTTGAGGATTTTACATTTTGTGATCGTCGTCTTTAAAGTTGTTTCTGCGGGTCGCAAAAAACAAAATTAGAGGACATGAGCTGAATTCAATGTAATTGTACATTTTAAGGTTTTGGTAAAAAAGTTTGGTATACACTCAGTGCTCCATTGACATTTCACAGAGATACGCATGTTTTTTGTGTGAGAAATCCTCTAAAAAGCACAGGAATTTCGAATAAATATGAAAAGCGTATACTGAAATATGAAAATACTCATGTCATGTCTCAAAATCGATATCCATTTTAGCTCTAAAAAGACAGATGAAGAAAGATGACAAGTTCAAAGGGAAATTGAGCCTGTCAGGTAGACAGTAGCCTTATTTCTTGCACAGAATCCAGACCCCACAGACACACACCAAGAAACTAAATTATCTCTTTGAAGAAGTTCTGACTTCATTGCATTACAGAAGAAACCTATATAATGTTATTCTTCATGTTTTTGAATCGTTAACATGTTTCTTTTTTGCCACATTGTGAATTTAAAGCTGACCTGCCTGTCAAAATTGCGTCTCCATGGTAACGTCGTCATAGTGAGCATGAGGACAACCAAAGTCAAACAATCAGAGCTCCCCAGTGTTTGGTCCAGTGCACGTGCCGTGTCCTAGGGAGCACTGAGTGCGGAGAAGAACAGTGCGGAGAAGACAACGAACTACAATACAGGTTGGCCATTTAGATAAGGTCGATTTTTCTTACATCAATGTTTATCTTGCCAACAGATGTCCATTTAGATAAGCGGTTAATTTGAATACAGCCAGACGCAGACGCGCAGTCACACTGTCATTGTCGGTGTGGAATATATATATATATTTTTATCGTCCGTGTCCTATTTTGACAACGGTATGGTGGTAGGTCTGTATCAGCATGATGAATTCATATCTGTTCATAGTTTAAGCACTAGTATGCTTCTATAAACTTTTATTTCAGAGAGAGGTCTCAATTAAGGGGAAATCGTTATGTGTCTATAAATTAACGTTGAGGCAGCAGAGACCCATAAATAGTATTGTAATGACCCGGGCTGGGTCATAAAGGGAAAAGAGACGAACACCAGATGTGCAGGGCAGAACACAGGTTTATTCCTAAACTGGGCTATTGTTCAGGCCACAGCCCACGCCACTAGATTCCGATCGTACACAAATACACAATGTAAAGTTAAGTGGCAGACTCATAGATCCCGAATCGAAAGAATGAGAGAGATGAGACAGTAGCTCCTATTTATGCATTTCAAAACCCTGGGGGATTACCCCCCCGTCCTGGCATATTTAACCCCTGCTAGCACCCATGTGAACAATAACACACACGAACACAGAACACAATACCGGGTCGTTACAGTATCATCATTTATTTATTCATATAAATAACTTATAACAGATACAACCGGGCCATTTTATTGAGTAAAGCAACTAAACAGTCCTCACACTGATTTTGCTCAGAAATTTATGAAACTTTAGCGCAGCTGAGCACATCCCATTATGGCATAAATTATGTGCACATCACTATTGCACCACAGTTATAGTCTGGAACACCAACCAAACTCCAGACACCAGCACTGACTCACCAGCTCTAAAAAGCTAGGTAATTACCTAAATTAAGGCTTTCCACTATCCTTAAAAGGCAGTTTTTAGGATGTTTTTAATGAAAACACTATTGGGATGAGCATCCAGCAAGTTTAAATTGACTCTAATTCCATGTCCTTGTCCACAGACTAATCATGTCAGGCACTGATGTTTGGGTTGGCTCCTGGAGGCCCCACAAGCCCCGAGGTCCCATCGCTGCACTCTACAGCAGCCCTGGACCCAAGTATGCCCTGCCTGGAGCAACAGGTACAATTAACTTAGTGATTGACTGATTGATTTATTGGTTGATTTGTTATTAACCTTTTGATTAGTTGGTTGATTGGTTTTATTTTGGAGTATAAAAAGACACATGGGCAATCATCTTCGCCTATCCTTCTTCAGGTCTGAACTACCATGACCCCAGAAAGCTGAAAGCACCTGCGTTCAGTTTTGGGACGCGTCACCGCCAATTCAGCTCAGACTGCTCCCCCGGGCCAGGGTACTTGGTTCCCTCCAACATCACCAGGATTGGGCGTGACGGGACCCCTGTATACTCCCTCTACAGCCGCCCCAAAGACCCCCAGCTGTTCCAAACCCCCGGACCTGGTCAGTAACACACACACCATTTTAGTAGTTCTTTTTTATTTTATTTAATTTTTTCATCTGCATGTGTTTAATGTGAGGATGGATAGTGGTGCCTTAATGATACCAGTCAGACAGCATGTGGTGGTACTCTAACAGTGGGTCTAAAATATGACTAAATAACACCTCCTTAACATCTGGAAGATCAACATGTTTCAGTAACAAAAAACGAACTGGTCCTCAGACATCAGTGTCATTTCACATTTTCTGGTACACTTGCATGTTTCTTATACAGATGACAACATTTCTATAATTTCTACATCCAATTTTAATAAAATGTCAACTTTTCTTCTCAAGAAGTGGGAACCCTCGAACAGACTGAGGAAATGATTGCAGCGACAACATCAAAATAAATCTTTCACAATGTTGATAACAACCTCCGTTCACATTGGATCTTACCAAGAGACTATAAATCATGTTTTTTCAAACAACACATCTGTCAAGTTCTAATGCCTAAAATCTGCTTATTTTGTTGGGGGAAAAAAGAACTACCAGCTTGCTTAGACAGAGAAAGCCAATAGGCTAATGTAAGACACGACTATTTAAGAAATTTCCAAACCCACAAACGTAAGATCCTATCTTAACTAAGGTGTGAAGTGAATCTCTCTCTCCAGCCCTGTCTTCTCAACCCTGAGGGCCACCAAGGCCAAAGCCTTATATTTCTTCATCATTAAACAACGATCACCTTTGGAATCCATTACATCAGAAGGACATCATCTAATCTATCATCAGGACAGACCGCCTCCATAGAGGAATGTAGCGTGAAGATCAACAAGGCTAAACATTGCATTGCGTCTCAAATGGGTTGCGTCTCAAATGGCAACCTCTGTAGCTCAGGTTCACCCGTACGTAAAATGTATGCACGCATGACTAAGTTGCTTTGGATAAACACACACACTTGCAAGTACACATATACTCCCCCTTGCGGCAGATGTGGATGCGGGTGCGTTTGCACGCTCAGCCCATTTCTTCCCCAGTCAACCATGTGGTGTGCATTTTTGTGTTTGAAAAGGTGCGGCGTTAAGTGAGTGAGAGGGGAAATGGTTGCATATCCCAGAGCCGACCGGGGGTCTATGAGCAGGGGTAGTGAGAGAGAGCTTTCAATTTTGTGTAGATGAGGGATATACATTTTTAAATATAGTATACATCTAATCTAATTTTTCATTGTCCTATCATGGTGGAAAGATCCCTAACCCTATAACCTGGACACCGACCTGAGCGACCCATACACCAAAGAGAAGTTCCCATCTCTTTTATGGACCTGCTGTGAATATGCGGCCTAAACAGAGAAATAAATGCGGTCAGAGACCTACTTGAGCAGCACCGCCCCCTCAAGATTCTGAGCCTGCCTGGCAGGGTTGGTCCTACAAAGCCAGAGCCCCCTGATGGGAGAGCATAATATACAAGGAAATTCTCAAAGCTGCTAATGAGAACCTTGACGACCTTTTACCTAGCCGGTGGGGATTCCGGTGGGGTACGCCCACCCAGGTAGTGGCAGTGCTGGCAACACAGGCTGCAGTAACCCATGGGGAGGGGGTCACACTCGGACAATCAGAGAGGGGGTTTATCATTGTAGCCCAGGTGGCACAAAATAATCAAAGGTCTGACCGCATGGAGATGCTTGGGAAAATGGTTACAACAGGGGATCAGAGTGTTTGTGTCTCAGGTGAAGAGGGTGGATCTGATCTCCATCACCTAGGACTTGACATAGATTAAGTAGATTAATCAAATCTGACATTGTTATCAATTTCTGCTCAATCTGCATGCTTTCTCAATCAGCTTTAACTGTATGTGCACTCGTAAATCAAGTTATTTCTCGAGTTGGGCTCTGGGATATAACAGCCGTTGAGTATCTGATTTTATGGTGGATTGTGGAGGAGGGGGGTTGAGTGTGTTGGAGTATGTGAGTATGTGCGTGTGTGCTTGTCTGGCATCTGTTGTGGGGGGGTGGGGATGCTGGGGGGGAGGGTATGGGATGGACCACGGGAATTATTTGCTAGGATAATAATTGCTTGTCAATGAATTAAATGTAATACAATGGCAATCCGGGTTATATGTTAGAATCCTACGCGTGAACTGCCGACATTATTACGCATATTAATTGATAATGATGGAAATTAGGATATGCATAATAAAAAAATAAAAAAAAAATATATATATATATATATATATATAGAGGTGAAAGCATTGGAAATGCTTTTGGCGGTTAATCTGCTTCTGTTTTGTGGGTGGTACTGTGTGCTGTTTTCGATGGATGGGTCCTGGCCTCTCGGGGCCTTAGGGATGCGGAGGGACGTGGGTGGGATGCTGATCACTGGGATGACGGCTCAACTTGGGATGGGGAGGGGCTTTAGCGGGGGGAATTAGTGGAGAACAATTGAAGGGTTGCTCCGTAGCAGTGCAAATATCACGGTACAGCTATATGGACACTCAATCATTACGCTATTTTTTATTGGTAAATTTACAAACATATATAATGATAAATAGACTTGAAACTTGTATCTCATTATGGTGTATGGTGAAATAAGTATAGCCAGTTATAATTGTAATGGCTTAGCTGATAATAACAAAAGAAGAACAATATTTACATGGCTCAAAGAGAAGGAATATAATATCTATTGTATACAGGAAACTCATTCAACAATTCGAGATGAAGTGGCGTGGAAAAAAGAATGGGGGGGGGGGAAATATACTTCTCCCATGGGCAAAGAAATTCAAAAGGGGTGATGATATTAATTAATAGTAATTTCGATCCGAATGTGCAAATTGTACAAATAGATACACAAGGTAGATGGATTATTTTAAATATGTTATTGGACCATAAACAGATATGGCTCATTAACCTTTACGGACCAAATAAGGATGATCCACAATTATTTGACAATATATATAATAAATTATCAAGCCTGCAAGCAACTCAAGACAATATTATTATGGTGGGGGATTACAATACTGTTTTAAATAGCTCAATGGACCGTAAAGGAAATCACACCACAAACAATCACCCACATGCTCTTAAGGAAATTGTGAATGTCATGGATACATTAGAACTAGTAGATATATGGAGGCTTAAATATACTGATCTAGTGAGATATACAGTGGGGAGAACAAGTATTTGATACACTGTCGATTTTGCAGGTTTTCCTACTTACAAAGCATGTAGAGGTCTGTAATTTTTATCATAGGTACACTACAACTGTGAGAGACGGAATCTAAAACAAAAATCCAGAAAATCACATTGTATGATTTTTAAGTAATTAATTTGCATTTTATTGGATGACATAAGTATTTGATCACCTACCAACCAGTAAGAATTCCGGCTCTCACAGACCTGTTAGTTTTTATTTAAGAAGCCCTCCTGTTCTCCACTCATTACCTGTATTAACTGCACCTGTTTGAACTCGTTACCTGTATAAAAGACACCTGTCCACACACTCAATCAAACAGACTCTAACCTCTCTTCAATGGCCAAGACCAGAGAGCTGTGTAAGGACATCAGGGATAAAACTGTAGACCGTACAAGGCTGGGATGGGCTACAGGACAATAGGCAAGCAGCTTGGTGAGAAGGCAACAACTGTTGGCGCAATTATTAGAAAATGGAAGAAGTTCAAGATGACGGTCAATCACCCTCGGTCTGGGGCTCCATGCAAGATATCACCTCGTGGGGCATCAATGATCATGAGGAAGGTGAGGGATCAGCCCAGAACTACACGGCAGGACCTGGTCAATGACCTGAAGAGAGCTGGGACCACAGTCTCAAAGAAAACCATTAGTAACACACTACGCCGTCATGGATTAAAATCTTGCAGTGCACGCAAGGTCCCCCTGCTCAAGCCAGCGCATGTCCAGGCCCGTCTGAAGTTTGCCAATGACCATCTGGATGATCCAGAGGAGGAATGGGAGAAGGTCATGTGGTCTGATGAGACAAAAATAGAGCTTTTTGGTCTAAACTCCACTCGCCGTGTTTGGAGGAAGAAGAAGGATGAGTACAACCCCAAGAACACCATCCCAAACGTGAAGCATGGAGGTGGAAACATCATTCTTTTGGGACGCTTTTTTGCAAAGGGGACAGGACGACTGCACCGTATTCAGGGGAGGATGGATGGGGCCATGTATCGCAAGATCTTGGCCAACAACCTCCTTCCCTCAGTAAGAGCATTGCAGATGGGTCGTGGCTGGGTCTTCCAGCATGACAACGACCCGAAACACACAGCCAGGGCAACTAAGGAGTGGCTCCGTAAGAAGCATCTCAAGGTCCTGGAGTGGCCTAGCCAGTCTCCAGACATGAACCCAATAGAAAATCTTTGGAGGGAGCTGAAAGTCCGTATTGCCCAGCGACAGCCCCGAAACCTGAAGGATCTGGAGAAGGTCTGTATGGAGGAGTGGGCCAAAATCCCTGCTGCAGTGTGTGCAAACCTGGTCAAGACCTACAGGAAACGTATGATCTCTGTAATTGCAAACAAAGGTTTCTGTACCAAATATTAAGTTCTGCTTTTCTGATGTATCAAATACTTATGTCATGCAATAAAATGCAAATTAATTACTTAAAAATCATACAATGTGATTTTCTGGATTTTTGTTTTAGATTCCGTCTCTCACAGTTGAAGTGTACCTATGATAAAAATTACAGACCTCTACATGCTTTGTAAGTAGGAAAACCTGCAAAATCGGCAGTGTATCAAATACTTGTTCTCCCCACTGTACATGGCGGAGACTGAATCAAGCTAGTCGTCTTGACTTCTTTCTTATCTCATTCTCGTTGGCACCAAAAGTAAAAAAAAGTGTTGATAGGGGACAGAATGCGGTCGGACCATCATATAATAGGCATATACATTACTCTTACTGAATTTCCACGTGGGCGAGGATATTGGAAATTTAATCAAAGCCTATTGGATGATAATTTATTTATAATTAGAACAAAGGAATTTATAACTGACTTTTTCCAACATAACATACGTACAGCGAATCCCCTTATTGTATGGGACTCCTTTAAATGTGCCTTTAGAGGCCATGCAATTCAGTACTCATCTCGAAAACAAAAGCAATTTAGGTCAAAAGAGTTTATACTAAGAAAGGAAATAGAAAGTCTAACAGAACAGATAGATGGCAATAAAACTGTAACATAGAGGCTCAGAATAAATTAGAGGAAAAACAAAAAGAAATGGAGAAACTTATTCAAGAAAGATCAAGTGTAATATATTATAAAAATAAAGCAAACTGGATGGAATATGGGGAAAAATGCACAAAATTATTTTTTTATCTTCAACATAGGAATGCTACCAAAAAGAACTTAATGAAACTGGTTACAATTGACGGAGTCACCCATAATTCACCAAATGATATTTTGAAGGAAGAAACAAAGTACTTTAAGCATATGTTTTCTTTTCAGCCGCCTCCATCTCCTCTAACTGAAGCTAATTGTAGAGATTTTTTTTCTATTGATAATGTCAAATTAACAGCCACACAGAAAGACTCATGTGAAGGTGAAATTACAGAGGAGGAACTTCTGGATGCAATTAAAGACTTTAAGTCTGGGAAAACTCCAGGGTTGGATGGCATACCAGTCGAGGTATACCAAACCTTTTTTGATATACTAAGAGGACTGTTATTAGCATGTTTTAACCACTCCTATGTAAATGGTAGATTATCTGACACTCAAGAAGAAGGTCTGATCTCATTATTACTGAAACAGGATACAAGTGGAAAATATAAAGATCCAGTCCATTTACAAAATTGGAGGCCCCTTACACTTCAGGGTTGTGATGCAAAAATCCTAGCAAAATGTATAGCGTCCCATATAGATTGCAAAATAGTTGGGAAGAGATCTTTGACGTACCGATCCCATGGCATAGTGTTTATGAACTGACACGCAAAACGACACCGGATTCAAAAATTAGAATCTTTCAATTTAAATTATTATATAAAATTCTTGCTACCAATATAATGTTATTTATATGGGGGATACAATCTTCCCAGCTCTGCAGATTTTGCTGTGAAGAGACAGAATCATTAGATCATTTGTTTTGGTTCTGTCCATTTGTAGCTTGTTTTTGGACACAGGTCCAGGAATGGCTAAAGGATTGCAATATTTACCTGGAACTAACCTTGCAGATAGCATTATTGGGTGATCTGAAAAGTCATAGTCAATCAATCAATAATATAATAATACTTTTAGCAAAAATGTTTATTTTTAATTCACAATCTGTAGAAGCAATGAGAATAGAAAGGTTCAGAACTTTTGTAAAACATCACAGTACGGTTGAAATATATATGGCAAATAGAAATCCTATATGGATGGTGTTAAGAGATAGATGGGAGGTATTGAATAGAGTTGAAGGATGGGACTAATAACAAATAACAACAAATAATAACAAAGATAGCTAATAATGTAAGCATACTGTGTCCATAATAAGTATATAGGTTGTATGTTGGGAGCTTTTGGGAAAGAGCACAGTTAGAAAGATATGGCATATAGAAGCAAACCGGATGGACATCATGAATATGATCGGAGAGGTTGAGAGTAGAAGAAGTTCAGGAGCAATAAAAATAAAAAAACAAAAATAAATATATAATATAATTATTGTAAAATTAACTCTGTCCATAAGGTGTAGATAGTAAGTATAGACCGGAAGTAGAGGCCTGGGCATTGTTGTTCACTAATTTACTCCAAGTAGGGAAAGGATGGTGGGGTTGAAAAGTAATAAAGGGGAGTGTATATATAAAAATAAAAATAAAAAAACATGGGGGATTGGAAGTGATGCAGACAATTACATTGATAGAAGATACAATATATCTGCAATATTAAGCTGATCCATTCCCCCCCAAAAAATACAAAAACAAAAACAAAAAAAAAGTAAAAAATAAATAAATAGATATTAAAAATATTGAAAAAAAAAACATTTAAAAAAAGTACACATATACACACACACACAAGAATTCTCAAAACGCACACACCGTCTCTGAGAAACTACACACACATACGGCAGGTAGCTTAGTGGGTAAGAGCGTTGTGCCAGTAACCGAAAGGTTGCTGGTTCTAATCCCCGTGCCGACTAGGTGAAAAATCTGTTGATGTGCCCTTGAGCAAGGCACTTAACCCTAATTGCTTCTGTAAGTCGCTCTGGATAAGAGCGTCTGCTAAATGACTAAAATGTAAATGTAAATGACTCAAGACACATAATATGAGACTTTGTTCTAACTGTCTGTTTGGTGTTTTAGGCCGCTACTCCCCTGAGAGGTCAGGGAAGTCTGCATATTACTCTGCCCCTGCCTACTCCCTGTCTGCCAGGAGCAAAGGCTTCCGCAACGACCAGACCCCAGGTAACATCCTCTTCAATAATGATAAGTCCAACACTGTGGCTTTAAGAGATGTGGAATAGAATGTTGGCTGTAGAATTTTAGAAAGTGATCGATCGAATATTCAGTGATAGCATGTTCGATGAACACTGAAAATGTGATAGAACTGTATATAATGTTGGTGTACTTACGAAATGTGATTGTTTGTGTCCTCTCTCTCAGGCCCTGCTGCTTACATGCTGCCCTCTGTGCTAGGGCCTGCCACCGTCAACAAAACCTCTGCCCCTAACTTCTCCCTCCGAGGACGCAGCAAGATCGGCAGCTTCCACGAGGACCTGCAGAAGGTAGATCTGACATGTCAAACAAACTCTTCAAAATGGACATCTCATCTGTCCTCTTTATCGATGATGAACAGATTGAGTTAGTAGGCCTATCGTTCATTGTTTTCTTCCCTCACATTTCTTCCCTGTGTGTTTCCATCTGTACATCAGACGCCTGGCCCAGGGACATACAGAGTGGTGGACCCCTGCACCTACAAACACAAGCCCCCCCACTACAGCATGACAGGACGCAACAGCATGCCTGGAGACACCACCAAGAAACCAGGCCCTGGAGCTCACCACCCTGAACAGGCAAGACACCTCATCATAACCATATCACACTTCTATAATTGTGTACTTATGCAATGATTAAAATCATATAAAAATAATATGAACATATCTTCTACAAAGTTTGTTTCTACCCTCTGTTGCATGGGTAATGCACTAACTGACTGTCTTCTGTTCCAAGGTGACCTTCACCAGGATCAAACCTCCAAGCTTCTCTTTCGGAATTCGTCATTCTGAGTTCATCGCTCCGCTCATCGTGGACTTGGTGGAATAGGAACCCTTCCCATTCCTCCATTTACCTCATCCCTTTTCCTCATCCCTATCCCATTATCCCAACAATAAATTCAGCAGTATCAAACTGCTCTGCAGTGAAGAAAGCAGTTAATTGTGCCTTATTGTTCTTATGTATTGCCTATCCTGCATTGAGTACAATGATGCTGGAAGACAAGCTAACCTGACAATCACATAATCCTTGTTGATCATTAAAACATTTATTTTTACATTTTTTATATGAAGGCTATGTTTTATCACATCAATTTGATTTGAATAGCATAAAAACACAGGCTATTCAGCATGCTTGAATGTTATGAATACTTGTGGAAAAAAAGGATTAGGCCTGTACTACACAAACACTACTTCACCTGTGGCCTCCCTTCATATTTTGTGTCACTTGTTTGTTGCATGAATGCTATGATTTGGGGAACACTTTTTGGGCCCAATACTGTTTTAATTTGCACATATTTTACCACATGAGACTCAGAGTTTGATGTTATGCCAAAGGTTTATGACCACTTTCAGTATGAAAATTATGAAATACCTAGTATTATAATATTTTATTGTTCCAATACATTAGTTGTGTGTTGATATAACATTGATCTGACATGATTCTTCTCAAAACAAAATGGCCTGGCCACGTTCACTCACTTTGTTATAACATGTCAAACTTGTAAAATTGTGGTAATAAATAACGCTAGTTATAAAAAATATATACATTTTCAACAGTGGTTGTCATTGTACTTTTTTCTGTCATGGTAAAATAAACCTTTGGACAATCATTGGAAATAACCCAATATATACACCGTTTCAGGCAATAATAGGAACAGCCTCGTTCAAAAAAGGGGGCCTTCAAGCGTCTGCGTTGCATAGAAACAGAAATTCTCTGAAGGAAGCTGTTGCTACAAAAACATGAAGATTCTAACTACAAAACTAGCGTTTTGCCAACAATAGATAAAGTTTTTCTACTTATTTTGCTAGACTACTGACAGCTAAAGCAGGTTGCTAGATATAGCATAATATCAGGAACATAGCAATATCCCTGACTAGGTGTTATGTTAGCTAGCCTAACAAGTAGCCACTGCACTGGCTTGGCTAACGTTACTGTAGATAGCTAACCAACGTCGGGTTGAAAACATGCCAGTTTCGACAGCTAGCTAATAAGTTAACTTAGACATGACTTCGAATGGGTTTGGGTCATATTTTAAGTGAATGAATGCAAAGATGTGTAGCTATATCTAGTTAGTTAGCTAACGTTAATCAGTTAACTTGGCTAGCTCAGAACAGAAGCTAGCCAGCTACTTGCCGTTAATCACAGACTAAGTTAAGTGCATTCCTTTTGCTAGCTAACTTCTAGCCGGGTACTGTAGCTAGCTAAGCTGCTGTGAGACGCAGCTGATTTCCCCATCCTAAAGGTAGGATGGCAGGCGACGCCAGTGGCATTCCTGAACTGGACCAAGAGAAATATGATGCAGATGAAGAAGTCAAGATCATCTGCCTTGGAGACAGTGCAGTGGGCAAATCCAAGTAAGTTAGATAGGGAGTATGCCATATTTTACTTGTCACTGCAAATACATCTCAAAGATGCTGAATGTTCTCAGTAAAGCTAACTCAATTTTATATCAGCAGTAGTACTTACTTTTTGTGACCCAGGAGAAGATGTTAACAACCGCCTCTTGTTGTTTTACAGGTTGATGGAGAGGTTTCTGATAGATGGATAGTATCCTTTCTCACGCTGGCACTCTCATCTATGATTTCTGTAATTGGGTTTTGAGTGTCGCATGATCACAGAATAAATTAATCAGTCTTTTAGCTTGATGTAGCTAACTAAGTAGGTGTTGCCTAATGTTGATAGTATTACACTGAAAGAAACCCAATTCCTTCTCAATAGTTCATGCAGTAACTGATTTGGCTTGTAGCTGGTTGGTCATCCAGTATGCCGACATGCCTTTTGACCAGCAATGTGACCACATGCTGTAGCTACAGTATAGAGGGTTGACAAAGTTGTTTATTCTATTTCTTAACTTGTTCTCCAGTCGTCCCCAGCAGCTGTCAACCTATGCCCTGACGCTTTACAAATACACTACCACCATCGACAGCAAGGCTGTATTAGTAGGTATGTTTATCAATTGTTTTCTTATCAAAATGTCTGGTTTAGACTGAAGAGTTGTTAAGGCTATAGTCAACTGGTTTTCAGTAAACTGATCGGTTATTGCTGTGAACCATAATCGTGCTGTTATGTTATCTGGTTGCCTTGGTATCTGTTTGGTTGCCTTCAGCTGTGTTTGTACTTATGTCTGCCTCAAAGACTTCTGGGATACGGCCGGACAGGAGCGGTTCCAGAGCATGCATCCCTCGTACTACCACAAGGCTCACGCCTGTATCATGGTAAGACTTCACACTAGCTGCTAAGACGACAACATTACTTCAAGGCTCATACTTATGTCATAGCCTGTATCATTGACTGTACTCGTCTTTGTCAGGTGTTTGACGTGCAGAGGAAGATCACCTATAAGAACCTGACCAGCTGGTATACAGAGCTGAGAGAGTACAGGCCTGAGATCCCCTGTGTGGTGGTGGCTAACAAGATAGATGGTGAGTCCTGCCAGACAGGCTAAATCTAATAATATTTTATTTTTACTTTATTTTTTATTTTTACTCCGTTGTTTGCAGCTGATATGAAGGTGACCCAGAGGAACTTTAACTTTGCCAAGAAGCAGGGACTTCCTTTGTACTTTGTATCTGCTGCTGATGGGACCAACGTAGTCAAGGTGAGGATGGACAACATTGTCCTTAAGACACACACACAATACTGTGTATACTGTATTTGTTGCTTAACGAAAAATAACATTTACAAAACCTTTTCTCTCTTTCAAAATGTCTCCCAGATGTTCAAAGAAACAATCAAGATGGCAATGTCTTACAAGCAGAACTCTAGTGACTTCATGGATGAAGTGATGCGGGAGCTGGAGGTACAGTACATACAGTTGAAGTCGGAAGTTTACATACACCTTAGCCAAATACATTTAAACTCAGTTTTTCACAATTCCTGACATTTTATCCTAGTAAAAATTCCCTGTCTTAGGTCAGTTAGGATCACCACTTTATTTGAAGAATGTGAAATGTCAGAATAATAGTAGAGAGTGATTTATTTCAGCTTTTATTTCTTTCATCACATTCCCAATGGGTCAGAAGTTTACATACACTCAGTTAGTATTTGGTAGCATTGCCTTTAAATTGTTTAACTTGGGTCAAACGTTTCGGGTAGCTTCCCACAATAAGTTGGGTGAATTTTGGCCCATTCCTCCTGACAGAGCTGGTGTAACTGAGTCAGGTTTGTAGGCCTCGCTCGCACACGCTTTTTCAGTTCTGCCCACAGATTTTCTATAGGATTGAGGTCTGGGCATTGTGATGGCCACTCCAATACCTTGACTTTGTTGTCCTTAAGCCATTTTGCCACAACTTTGGAAGTATGCTTGGGGTCATTGTCCATTTGGAAGACCCATTTGAGACCAAGCTTTAACATCCTGACTGATGTCTTGAGATGCTGCTTCAATATATCCACATACTTTTCCTTCCTCATGATGCCATCTATTTTGTGAAGTGCACCAGTCCCTCCTGCAGCAAAGCACCCCCACAGCATGAGGCTGCCACCCCCGTGCTTCACGGTTGGGATGGTGTTCTTCGGCTTGCAAGCAACCCCCTTTTTCCTCCAAACATAACAATGGTCATTATGGCCAAACAGTTATATTTTTGTTTCATCAGACCAGAGGACATTTCTCCAAAAAGTACGATCTTTGTCCCCATGTGCAGTTGCAAACTGTAGTCTGGCTTTTTTATGGCGGTTTTGGAGCAGTGGCTTCTTCCTTGCTGAGCGTCCTTTCAGGTTATGTTGATATAGGACTCGTTTTACTGTGGATATAGATACTTTTGTACCTGTTTCCTCTAGTATCTTCACAAGGTCCTTTGCTGTTGTTCTGGGATTGATTTATACTTTTCGCACCAAAGTATGTTCATCTCTAGGAGACAGAACGCGTTTCCTTCCTGAGCGGTATGACGGCTGCATGGTCCCATGGTATTTATACTTGCGTACTATTGTTTGTACAGATGAACGTGGTACCTTCAGGCGTTTGGAAATTGCTCCCAAGGATGAACCAGACTTGTGGAGGTCTACAATTTTTTTTCTGAGGTCTTGGCTGATTTCTTTTGATTTTCCCATGATGTCAAGTAAAGAGGCACTGAGTTTGAATGTAGGCCTTGAAATACATCCACAGGTACACCTCCAATTGACTCAAATGATGTCAATTAGCCTATCAGAATCTTCTAAAGCTGTGACATCATTTTCTGGAATTTTCCAAGCTGTTTAAAGGCACAGTCAACTTAGTGTATGTAAACTTCTGATCCACTGGAATTGTGATACAGTGAATTATAAGTGAAATAATCTGTCTGTAAACAATTGTTAGAAAAATTACTTGTGTCATGCACAAAGTAGATGTCCTAACCGACTTGCCAAAACGATAGTTTGTTAACAAGAAATTTGTGGAGTGGTTGAAAAACGAGTTTTAATGACTCCAACCTAAGTGTATGTAAACCTCCGACTTCAACTGTATTTCCCTCTCTGGATATTAGCTCACTGATATTATACACTCATATCTTTAGCTGTTTCCATCTCCTTAAATGACTGCCGCTATTTCACTGACAGTTGTTCTGGTTATGCTATTAGAATGAACGTATTTGGTTGAGTTCACATTTTAATTGAACAGAAAATGTGAATGATGATACATTTGGTCTGGCGTTTAGGCTCTGCTCTTCAAGGGTGGTCCCCAACCAAGGAAATGCTCAGGTAATGAACCTAAACAAAGCTAAGCTAGGGGTAAGGGAGCAGAGTATCTGCCATGCCCTTGATAAACAGAAGAGCAGAACCAGAAGGCAGCAGCTTTCTGAGGTCTATTTGAAAGAAGCGCCATCATGTTGTGTGTTCAATGTCTGATTGATCAGAAACTCAGCTGATACTGTCAGCTGACTAATCATGTGATTGACTTGAATTCATGCCAGAACCAGCTTCGCTCCATGTATTTGACTGACAGTTGCTCTGGATAAGATTACCTTTAAGTCATTTAGCAGGCTGACTCAGCTAAATGACGTTGCCACAAGCAGCACCGCAGATATTGCGATGAGCAAGATGCACAACTTCGTTTTCACAGTCACACAGTATCTGCTTCACGCTTTTACAACGTGGTAGCCACGGGACCAAAACAGCAGAGAAGTTGAGCCTTGCGCTTCAACGCTCTTAGTTGTAGCGGAAATTGACTCACTATGCTGTTTACTTTCTGCATCTACGTCGCTGAGTCTATTTTTAAGTGTAATACATTTTTTGTTCATCCTTGACCTGTAGAACTTTGAGCTGGAGCAGAAGAAGGAGGAGTCGTTAGAGACCGCTGAGGAGAGACTGAAACCAGAGAGCCCCGAGTCTGTCTGACTGGATGTTGATGTGGATACATTATCCTCAAATTATGGACACATTATCTTTAAATTATACTGGCATTGTGAATATGAGAGCTGATTCTGACTGCACTGCAGCTATGGACTCTGTGGATATGTTATTCTAACTGTGTTGACATGATACCTCTTTACCATGGGAGAGCCTTGCTCCCAAGTCTGTAACTGATGTTGTGGATATGTTACATTGACATTATTCTCAGTTTGTGGACATGTTATTCTTACATTCTCCTCATGATTGCATTTTATGCCATGGAAGAGACATGTTTTTGTGGGGCTGATGCTGCAGAAATGTTAACCCTTGACCCATATAATAGTAGTAACCTGTGAGATCTGGGGCAATCTATTGATGTGAGAACAAACATATTGTAGGATAGATGTTGTGGCAGGCAGGGTGAACGTGTGTGAAGCAGGCTATTTATTTGAGGTGAATCTAGAATGTGAAGCGTTGTAAAATGTGGGACACGTACAATACCTATAATCCCCATTCTTGCTATTTTATGATAGCAAAGTGAAACTGTGAATGTGAACTCTCTTTGCTACTTTGTCATCAGCTTTTACCATCTTATGTTTTTACCATACAGGGCATGTGTATGGCGATTTGTACAATGTTATAGTGAATTACATGTATGTAAAGCCTGCTATCGTTGCTCTAAGTGCTACAGTGTAAAGCCAGAGCTTTTATAGGTCGTCTTTAATGTATCTTAAACAATGAATGTACCTTGTAACCATGTGATGGCATTAGCGACTGTGTTAGAAATTGTGTCCGTGTGGTTTCAACACTTGTGACTTGGCTGCATCAGTTAAAGACTGCATCAATGTCACCAATAATATTTTTACAGGGACAGTGCACATTAATCAACGTTTCAGTAAAAGTGCCGGTTTTAGCCAGCCGGCTAATTTTCAACCGCAGTCCCTGGACAGGTTATTCAAAACAATTCCAATAACAATACAGACAATGAGCACATGCAGAGCAACATAGGACAAGCAACACGTAGCACGCAGACAGCGCAATAGCACAAAAAGCAACAAAACAAAATACATAAAAGCAACAAAGTGTTTCCACACCTCACAAGCTACAGACAACAGATAACATGGAAAGCGGCAATACACAGCTAGAGATTATGTTCACAAATCTGTTTGGCCTTTAGCCATGTCTTTATGTTTTTTGTGAAGGTGCGATAAGTGGTGCAGTTGTGTGTGTGTGTCTGGTGGCAGTGTGTTCCAGACATGGGAAGCTCTCACAGAGAAAGCAGGTTGACTAAAGGTGCTTTTCCTTAAGGGAACTATACAGTCATCTCTCATGGCAGACCTTGTGGATCTGCTGCCATGGGTTTGGGTTTTCTGTTTAACAAAAGTACTAAGTGGAGGGGGAGCCAGGCCATTTAGGATCTTGAATACAAGACATGCGTTGGTGTATTGCACAAGATTTTCCCAACTCAGGAGCTCATGCTTTCTGAGGATGTAACAGTGATGATGGCTATTTGGCTTTCTATCAAGCACTTTGAGAGCCTGTTTGTAGGCAGACTGAATGGGTTTTAATGTTGTACAACAAGCTTGGGCCCAACTAGTCAAGCAGTTTGTTAAGTGGTGCTGTATCATAGCATTGTAGTACAGCTTTGCTACCTCTGTAGTCAAACAATTTCGTATGAATCTGAGATTAGCTAGGTTGAATTTGGTTATTTTAGTTACCTTCTTCACCAGCTTTTTAAAATAGAGGTTGGAATCAAGTATGATGCCAAGGTACTTAAAATCAGATATCACCTGGAGCTTCTCCCCTGACACGTAGACATCTGGCTCAGTAGCATCATTTGCCCTCTTTGTGAAGAACATGCAGACAGTTTTTTTCACATTGAGATGCATGAGTCACTGAGTCACTGAGCCACTTTGTAACATGGACCATTACAGTAGTGAGTTCTTGTGCAGCTTGTTGTTTGCTCTTTGCATGCACATATATCACTGTATCATCTGCATACATGTGAACTTCTGACCCAATACAGACACAAGGCAGATCATTAATGTACAGGCTGAACAGGAGGGGCCCCAGTATTTACCCTTGGGCATGCCCACATCATAGCTGAGAGTGGGCGACAGCTCATTGCTCACTCTGACACACTGGGTTCTGCCTTCAACGTATGGTTTCATCCATCTCAAGGCATCGGGGGAAAAGCTGAACATGGACAGTTTTGTGATGAGAACCTCATGGTTAACAGTATCAAAAGCTTTCCTTAGGTCTAGAAATGCAGCACCAACAACGCCCCCTTTGTCCATCTTGGACTTCACATTTTCCAGAAGAAAGCAGTTGGCTGTTTCTGTTTAGTGTTTTGCTCTGAAGCCAAACTGCATAGAGTGTAATGTGAAGGGGCTGTTGTTGAGATGGGCAATCAGTTGCTCTGCTACACACTTTTCAGCAACCTTCGACACCACAGGTAGTATGCTAATGGCCCGTAGTTACTCACGTCAGCAGGGTCAACTGATTTAAAGATGGCCGTTATTATGGCCGACTTCCAGACCCTTGGAAACACCCCCTGACCAATAGATGTGTTGGTGACCTTAGTAATGGGGCCAATGAGTGACTGTAGTTTTTAAGAAAGGTAGAGTCCTTTACAGTTCTTTAGTGAGCTAATCACCTTGTTCACCTCTGACTCAGAAACCTCCCTTATGATGAAGACAGGTTGAGTGTCATTCACCGGCGCTGAGCCCAAGAAACCAGTGGAGGGGTTCTGTGTCAGTACCTTGACAGAGTCAACAAAGTAGGAGTTGAAGGCTGTTGCTATTTCCACTGCATCCTGTGTTAGACTTTCATTCACATTGATTTCTAGTCTTTTTGCAGTGTTTCTATAATCTTTCCCTGTTATGAAAATGTATGCACTCACTAACTGTTAGTCTCTCTGGATAAGAGCATCTGCTAAATGACTAAAATGTAAATGTAAATGTTAACTTTTTTAGATTCTTCCAGATCAATTTAGAATTTCCCTTTGCTTCACCACTTATGTTGATTAAAAAAAGTTTGCCTTGGCCTGTCTGATTTCTTTCATCACCTTATTTCTCAACATGGTGAACCTACGTCTGTCATGGTCTAATTGGAACTTTAGGGCTGTTTTTAGAGCATGATCTCGTTATTTCATCAGTTTCCAGATTTCTCCATTTAGCCAAGGAAGAGTGCTCTTTTGGCCAGGTTTGGATTTGATTTTCTTTAAGAAGCCATATATTGCAATCTGGGTTGTGGGAAGAAAAACCTGACTATCAGCTTTCACATCTGTATAGGGTATAGGCAAGAGATCATTCCAGTTAATTCCCTTAATTGCGTTTTCAAAATCATTGAATTCACTCTTAGGTATTCTGAGCTGATCAGGCTTTCTAACAGTAGAGAGGTTAAACCTGTTCTTGGAAAGCTTTCTGGCTATAATTGTCCGATTATGATCAGACAGCCCAGTAACCATATTGAATGATTTAGTCACTCTGGTTTATTACTGAACACCAGATCAATCTGTGTTTTAGAATAACAAGTCACCCTGGTTGGCCCTTTAACTAGCTGTATAAGGTCAAAGGTATTAGTGATCCGTTTGAGATGACCTCTTTCCCAAAATCACATTCCCTAAGCATGTTATTAAACTGATAAAAAAACACACTTTTGGATGAAGGTGGTCTATACATTCCAATAAGGGTAAAATACATTTGGGGAGACAGTGTAACGTTTAGGCCAATACATTCTAGTTCATTATCACATGACCACTCACATTGTTTACATCAGATATGTTCTTTAATGTAAATCATCAGACCCCCTCCTCTTCCTTCAATCCTGTCTCTCCTGAAAACATTGTAGCCAGGCACAATCAAAGCAGCAGATGGAGAGTTTTTATGTCGCCATGTCTCTGAAAGGCAGAGGAAGTCAAGGTTGGAGTCTGTGAGATGTTGAATTTGATCACTTTTTGGAATGACACTACAAATGTTCAAGTCCCCCCCTAGTAGTCCCTTAGACTTAGCTCGTGGGTTCCAGATGACTCGAGAGTGACACATTGAAAAAAGTAACATTTTCTGATGGCTGGGTTTAGGCCGTTTTGTTTTGTTCTGATTAGATGCGGGGAACTAATTAAAACTCGTTGTGTTTGGAGGACAAAGAATGCTGAGTTGCATCCAAAGAACACCATACCTATTGTGAAGCATGGGGGTGGAAACATCATGCTTTGGGGCTGTTTTTCTGCAAAGGGACCAGGACGACTGATCCGTGTAAAGGAAAGAATGAATGGGGCCATGTATCGTGAGATTTTGAGTGAAAACCTCCTTCCATCAGCAAGGGCATTGAAGATGAAACGTGGCTGGGTCTTTCAGCATGACAATGATCCCAAACACACCGCCCGGGCAACGAAGGAGTGGCTTCGTAAGAAGCATTTCAAGGTCCTGGAGTGGCCTAGCCAGTCTCCAGATCTCAACCCCATAGAAAATCTTTGGAGGGAGTTGAAAGTCCGTGTTGCCCAGCGACAGCCCCAAAACATCACTGCTCTAGAGGAGATCTGCATGGAGGAATGGGCCAAAATACCAGCAACAGTGTGTGAAAACCTTGTGAAGACTTACAGAAAACGTTTGACCTGTGTCATTGCCAACAAAAGGTATATAACAAAGTATTGAGAAACTTTTGTTATTGACCAAATACTTATTTTCCACCATAATTTGCAAATAAATTCATTAAAAATCCTACAATGTGATTTTCTAGATTTTTTTTTCTCATGTTGTCTGTCATAGTTGACGTGTACCTATGATGAAAATTACAGGCCTCTCTCATCTTTTTAAGTGGGAGAACTTGCACAATTGGTGGCTGACTAAATACTTTTTTCCCCACTGTACACAATCCATGTCTCAAGGCTTAAAAATCCTTCTTTAACCTGTCTCCTCCCCTTCATCTACACTAATTGAAGTGGATTTAACAAGTGACATCAATAAGGGATCATACAGTAGCTTTCACCTGGTCAGTCTGTCATAGAAAGAGCAGGTGTTCTTAAGGTTTTGTACACTCAGTGTACATGTGTTAGTCAACTGGAATTGTTGTAGAAGTACTGAAGATACCTCAGAACTACAATGAATGACCACTTCTGAGGTTCATGATCTAAGTGTAGTAGAACTCTTAGGGTTGGATTCAATCCGTATCCCGAGCTGAAATGTAAAGGTAATTTCCGAATGAGCTGATATTTGCAGCGTTTACAATGAATGCAGTCTCCGCGAATGCAGGAACATTGCCTTTAAATTTAAATCGAGCTATAACGCAGATACAGATTTAATTGAGCCCTTAAAGTGATGCTCCAGAGGTTTTGCATAATTTACTAGTTTTGAAAGTAGTGATCACGAGCCAAATGGGTCCCCAAAATGTGTTAATTGTGTACTACGTCATCCATTTAGTATGATATATTACGTCCTGCAAAACAAATGTTGGTTACAAAATCCAATTGTACAATATGTTACAGATTTGGAAGTGCTTAAGATCCCGGACTGCATCTTTAATTTTGTGTATGGAAAACACAACTTTTTTTTATCTGTATGATATCCCATGTATCCTATGAACTGTGATAAAAATGACAATTTCATTGCATACTTTCTCTGTGGCCCGTGTGCTTCACTCTCAAGGTTTTAGCCAAGGTTGTTAGTGTAATTTCAACCTCCTTCAGAAATAAACATTTTATATACACAGCTCAAATGTTAACGATTATT